CAACGACACTTCTAGGAAACCATGTTTGTGGTATTTATATGATCCAAAATTTTACACACACTCTTTTTATCTCAATAATCAATTCTCAAGAAAAAAAAAAATGTTCAATTTGAACCCTAGAATGCTCAAAATGAATCTAGACTATTCATTAGGTGAATTTCAAGATCTTAGCCTTTATAAACTCAAAATCAATTTTTTATGTTTTAATATTATTCATCTAATGATAATAAAGCCATCCAAAAAAATTGGAAATGAAAAACTCCTTCTAAAGCCTAAATCTAAGCATACTACCAAAATGAACGGCTTATGTTAATTGGGCTAAAAAATTACTTTTTAAGTTGTGTTTTCAATTTTTTTTTTTTTTTGTGATTTTCATCATAATGAAAAGAGTATATATTTCAAATTTTAGATCAAACAAGTAGTCATAACATGATTTTTGAAGTTTGTTACATCATATTACTTTACAACTGTTGCATGAAATCATTGCTCAATTGTAATACAATATCTTTTTAATAAGGGTATTTTTTTTCATTAGAAGAGGTGTGATATTATTTACATGAGATGTGATATCACCAACATAAAACATACCACTAGTGTGCTCTCGTATGTTCCATATGGATAATGTCATAATTTATATAAATGATGTCATATCCCACTTGACAAAAAATATCCTCACTAAAAAACGTTTTATCCACAAAATAAAAGTACAAAAGTGTCAATAAATAAATAAATAAATAAATAAAATAATAATCCAAATTATAAATTACCTTATGAAAATAGGTTAGGTATTTCGTACCAAAATTTCGTGAGGCAAAGGCAGGGCCCACACGATAGGGGCGTGAGGTTTTATTAAAGAGGGAACGGCTTGCAATTTTTTTGGTAACTTCATAGAGCATGACCAAATGTACGGTCAAGATCACGCCGGAGGAAAAGCAATGATGATGGAAGGCGAAGAGAGAGACAGCTGTGGTAGTGCGAGAGAATGTCAGAACCCTGACCCCCCTTATAATTGGAATTTTGAAATGTGAAAATTAATTTTTCGAAAAAACCACCCATTAACATGGACGGTGGAGATGTTGGAGGATACTTGTCCTCTGCTTATCCAAACCGTTCAATAAGATCCAATATCCAGTCTCTCTCTCACTAAAGTCGTCGCAGTAAAATAACTGGAGCTGTGTATCTTTTTCTTTTTAAACCGTCCATGCAACATGTTATCAAATTAGCTTCACTTAGACAAAAGATGCTAAGCTTTTGGATTTTAAGTATAAATTGAAACGAAAAGAAACATAGTGTTGTCGTTTCAGTCGGGTTGCTTTCGAATGCTTCAGTCAGAAAAAAAATATCTATATAAATTTTTTTTTTTAATTTTTTTATATATAAATATCTAATTTAATTTAATAAATTAAATTTTTTAAAAAGTTCCAAAATCTTTTTTTGACCAAAATACGAAGTTGCTTTATTTTTTTTACCAAAAAAAACAATGGTTATTTATCTCTCTTGAGATGGTAATGAAAAATAGAATTATTTATACGAATATGAAAAAGGTGTGGTTTAAAGCATCCAATTAAGGCATACTTCCAAATTTTATCACAATATACAATTTTGGAAAAAAAAACTCTTAGGAGTATCTGAAAATCTATTTTTATATCTAATTATAAAATTTTAAACTTAAAAAATGATTAAAATCAAGTAGATCTATAAATATATAAAAATCTTGAAAATTGACAATATAGATAATGTTTTGCATGTACTATTCTTAAGATTCAATTTTTTTTTTTTTAATATTTATATATTAGATGTGGACATGTTAAAATAAAAAAAATTTCAACATTAAAACAAACATTTTCAGATGGAGTTTTATGGTTGCAACTTTATATAAACTTTTTCCGTATGAAAAAAAGAGGCTAAATATGCGTAGATGGAAAGGTTTTTCTTGTGAGGGTGAGAGTGGTCCCCACTTTCTCTCCTCCTGACCATGACCCACCCACAGAAACACAAAAGGTACGGCCGAATGCGGGAAGACGCGTCGGAGGAGAAATCCAGGCCGTCCGTACCCCAATGCGCACGAGCTGCTGACCTGGAACCACGTGGGACCGGCATCCCTTCGTTACGTCACATCACATCACACCTCCCCATAAACTCTGCCCCCTCCCCCCTTTCTGCGGGCCCCACCCCGACACGCCTCTCGCCGTGAAACTCATCCCGCCGGGAAGTTGCTTTTCGTCGGAAAACCTCGCCGGAAAACATGTCGGGTGGGGGCTTGAGCTGCCTCTTGAGCGGGAGCCCGAGCATTCGATGTTTCTAAATTTTTTATACTTTTTTAGTTCGAAACTCCGTCATCGAAAAGCGCGACCAATCTCTTTCTCTCTCTTACTTCTCTCTCTCTCCTAACTTTCTCTCTCTAAATGGAAATTTGGGGAAAAATTATCGTTTTTTTTTGACGACACAACCTGTCGCCGTCAGCCCCGTCAATTCTCCTCTCTCCTCGTTCCACATTTACTCACTCCACAGTGTCCCCTCTCTCCCCACCTTCTCTGCATTTAATGACTCCACGAAACGCATTTACTGATCCGGATTTGACCCCCGTACGGCCCGGTAAATTTGGGAGGTAAAAATTTATAGGAACCAGAGCTTGCCTGCCCACCCAATTTTTGCATCATTCACCCAAAACGGTAATAAATAATGGGTGGAAATAATGAAAATCTAGGGTTGTAGTTTAGGAACTTGGTGTGGGGAATAGTGAGAACATGGGTGGAGAAACTGGATTTGATGCGTAACTATGATTTACCGCGAGGGTTAAAACTGCCCTCCCCCGAGGGAACAGGGTGAAAGCCACCGGCAGTAGCCCGTTGCCCCGCCCACCAAAGACTTCTCTGACAGCTTCGCTTTGGCCCTAACTTTTTTTAAAATTCCTTTGGGACTTTTAGCTGTACAAATTCTATTGAGGCTGTCATACACAGTCGGCGGATGATCACCCTCCTCAAAGATGGATGGTGGAGATGTATTTTAGGCGATTGAAGGAAAAATCGGGCCGTCTAATTGGTAATCACCATGTTAGATTGGAATAGGCCGGTTGCCTTTTCTCGTTTTGGCCGGTTTTGGTGACTGGTCGGGTATTTTAAAAATATACATATATTTATATAAACTTCTAAAAAATAAGGGATTTTATTTGTAATTCATTTTTTAATGTTTTTCGATAAAGAATGGAAATTGTTTTGATTATTGATACTTATTTTTACATTTTTCCATCCTTTTTGAAAAAATTTAAAGATATTTCTGGCACAAATCGATTATTGAAAATTTAATTTTTCCATTAATTTTTAACTTCATTTGGATGTATTTTGTTTAGTCATTCTTTAAATATACTTTTTGTGCTTTATTAGATTATTTTTTTTTAACGTTTTTTTTATGGCTCAGGATTTGCCCAGCTAGAATAGTCGAATCAACAGGTTTACAGTTGGGTCGGTTGAACAGCTTTTGGGCCCATGTTTGGTTAATCGTTCCGGATCGATTTTTCCTATACTGTTCCAAGCCATCACCAAAACTAGGGTTTCTCTAGAGAGACCTTTGTGGGTGGCATTGCTTCACTTTCTAATGTCCCTTCCTTTCACAATAGCTATTCTTGATGCCACTATGTGAGTAAAGTCTATTATCCATTGAATTATTTTCTCTTTTTGTTCTCTTTGGAAGATGCAGCAATTCTAACTATACGAAGCGGTTGAAAGATAGAGCTTTCATTGTGCTGGTGATTTTGGACAAGTTTGAGAGGGCCCTTTTGACTTCAACCTGCTCGTATTCCCTATCTTTACACACAATAGGTTATGCAACACATACTAGGAGAAAAAAGGAAACAAGACTTGGAAACACAGGTCAATTTTACAAGACTCTGACTCATGGGTCATGATTTTTATACCCCAATATAACAAGAGCGTTATCATTGTCATCAGGATGGGATTAGTCACGGTGATGTGTCTGATCTAATCAAAATCAGTTTGGCTATTAGTTGAGCTGATTTAACTGGAAAATATAAAAAATTATGAATAATTTGAAAATTGTACTATGTTCGAGAAAACGTTCACCCCAACTCCATTTAGCCAATCGAATTGGTATAAATCGGCTGGTAGAACATTTCAAACTAATCAAATATTAATCTTGATCATTTTTTGATTAATACGGATTTTTTTATTTAGACTAGATCGGCCAATACAATAGTTCGTAATCCAAACGATTGGACCACATATAATCGAGAAACAACTCTACATAAAATTTGTTAGGTGGAAAGGTAGATGAAGACATATTTGAGATTTGAATCCTTTTCACATTCGAAGTAAAGAAAGTAATTGAAGAAATAAAGAAATTCTCTTCAGTTCATAGGGGCTTTCCACACTTAACTTTACCTCGGATTGGCTTGAGAGAACTCAATGGTGATGAGCCAAGTGTCATTGTTTTGATGAAAGCCATTGAATAGAGTTCATTAAATTCAAAGAGCAATACACCATTGCATAGCTTCATGGTACAAAGAATGAGAAGGAGTAAGGCATTGCCACGTGTCCCACAGTCCTCGCCCTTACGCCTCCCCACACGTGCCAAACAAAACAAACTATCTCATGGGATGTGATTGAATTGGCCACAAGAGCAATGTAAAGTAACCATCACATAAAGGCCAAAAGAGAAAAAAAAAGGATGCATTTGTACATCTAAAAATGAACAAATTCATTTTTGCTTTCTATGAAGAAAACAACAATAAGTTATATAACATTTGACACATTGGATCCCTTCCAAGATTGAGACCTTTGAGATTTATTTGGGTTATTCATGTGGCTTACTACTACCAGATATCGCGTCGTATTGAGGGTGAGGCATTTGATAGAGTAAAATGGTAAAACAAGATTGTTGTAGCCGGACCTAATATTAAGATAAAATTTTGATAATGCATCGACTCAATTTATCTATTCCACTTATACCACCCCACTAACCCCTTTAAAAAAAAAAAAACCAAAGCTCAAACTATCTGCAAAAAAATGGGTAGGGGCTCTCCTTTTTTATAGATTTAAGAGAGATTTGTTTCAATGGTCGTAGTTAGGGAAAACGGCTATAATGGTCTTTTAAGAAAAAGACAATGTCAATTAAGATATAATGGGGGAGCTGTTTTGTCATTTTGGAAAATGGTAGGCTTGTTTTGGGTCAATTCCCTTACCACTAACACTAAGCAGCTCAGGTATATAATCCTCACCCTTAAAGCGGCAGGAGATAATCCATTTAATTTATGGCCATGGTTACCGACCTTATCTCCTGTATCCCAAATCCTCGTCGGAAAACCACCATTTCCGGTCGCTAAACAACCCTACTCTCTCTCTACACTTTGAGTTTCTCTCTCTAAAATCAATGGACTACGACGACGACCACGATGAAGATGAGGAAGAGGAGATCGGCTTACCCCAGCAGCCCCAAGATGGGGGCGACTTCCGAAATTCCGGCCGTCTCAAAATGCTCGTCCCGGTGGTTTCTGGCGACTCCTCCGGGTCGGGGAAGCGGATTCAGTCAAACGTGCGGTACAAAGAGTGCCTGAAGAATCACGCGGTAAGTATCGGGGGCCACGCGATCGACGGCTGTGGTGAGTTCATGGCGGCCGGAGAGGAGGGGACACTGGAGTCGTTGAAGTGCGCGGCGTGCAACTGTCACCGAAACTTCCACCGGAAGGAGGCCGAGGGAGAAATTCCGGCACCCCAATTTGCTGCATACTATCGGGGGCTCCCTCCCCCGGCATCGCACGGGCCAGCGGGGTACCTACATGTGGGCCCATCGAGGCAGTCGGCGCTGGCGATCACGGTGAGGGAGGAGCAGGAAGAGGACGGTGTGCACGCGCTGAATCCGATGGGCAAGAAGCGGTTTCGGACAAAGTTCACTCAGGAGCAGAAGGATAAGATGCTGGCCTTTGCCGAGAAGGTGGGGTGGAGGATACAGAAGCAGGATGAGGCGGAGGTGCAGCGGTTCTGCATGGAGGCCTGCATCAAGAGGCATGTGCTCAAGGTGTGGATGCACAATAACAAGCACACCCTTGGTAAGAAACAACATCAACAGGACCAACAACAACCCTAATACACACTCTTTCTCTCTCTAAAAATCCTTCAACTCCATAACTCTCTTTCTTTCTTGCTGTTCTGGTGTTCTGATTTTGTTGGTCTCTATTTGCCAAACACATCTAGACAGCTCTTGTCCTTCCCACTAAACAATGAGACAGTGATGTAGTGATACATGACTGTGTCTATGTATTTTTAGAGATAAATAGGTGCAAAGTTAGGTAGTATAGTAGTAGTACCCCCATTCTATTATCTCTCCCCCCCCCCCTCTCAGATGACCTATTCTTTCTTTAGAGGATGGCTCTCTCTCTCTCTCTCGGTACTAAGTCCTAGCTCTTTCTCTCTCTACAGAACTACCATCTCTTTCTCTCTAGAGATAGACTGTGTTTCATTGCCTCTCTCTCTCTTCTTTCTCTTCACTCTCTCTATCTCTCTCTCTCTAAATATATTCATATGTATACTTTTTTTTTTTTTAACACCTAAAGAGGCTGATAAAAGAAGATGGGATTTCCTCCATCAACGGATTTGTGTTCATGGTGCTAGGGTTTTGAGGGATTTGGGGAATGAGGATTGGGAGCATTGATGTAATATTGGGGATTGTGGGGAATGAATTTGGAATGGTTGTTATTATTGTTATTGTTATTGTATTGGGTATCTGATGCTGCTTACTTTGTAGAAGAAGAAGATTGAACAAAAACAAGTTGCCAAAGTGCAGGTAATATCTCTCCTTCTTATTATTCTCTCATTTTTTTTCATTTTTTTCTTTTTTCTCCAAGCCCAACCCATTAGTTTTTTCATCAAAATCAAAAAACAAAAAACCCATTAGGGTTTTCTCAGTTCTTGCTTTCAAGAACTGAATACTCTCTTTCTATATATATATATATATTTTTTTTTTACTGCCTGTCTTTCTCTCTCTAGGTTTTTATCCTCTCTGTTGAGCAGCTTTAAGATGGCCTTTATTGACTCTTTTAATGAAGTGGGGGAAACCATATTAATTAGGTCGTCTAATGCATGATCCTCAGCTCCTAAGTGCCAACATAAACTTGAGGGATTATGCATTAAAAGAGCTTAGGATTATTATTATTACTGATGATTTGTTATTGTGATGTCATAAAAAATTGGTGTTTACAAGAGGAGGGAATTGGTTCCATGCCTCTTGGGAAGTGCATTTATTATTAGGATGTTGAGTCATGTCGTACAAGTCGACTCTGAACAGTCTTGTACAAAATCCTACGCAAAGTTGATCGCAAATTAAAATATAAAATTACGTATGAATGGGAGGAGAATTAATCCTTCACACGTGTGTAAATTATTGTTTTTTACTTACTATAATGTGAGGTTTCTTAAGGTGATAATTTCCTGATGATGGCTGTTCTAGAAGTGCCAACTCCCGCGGGACCACTTAAACAAGTAACATTCGACTTGATTCAACAAACAGGCTTGGGTACCTTTCGTTTTCAAAGCTGCTCTTCTGCATCAATTTGAAGGAATCCTTGTGATTCTCTTTTACTTTTTATTTATTTATTTTTTTTTTTAATGTTACATGGGACCATTTTATTGATCTGTAATGAAATAAATTTTTTTGTTGCTGCTAAAAAGGTTCAGCCAAACGCAAGAAACCTCAATCTATTTACAGTTTTGCTGCCTCCTTGCTTTCTCTGAAAAACATGAAGAAACGTCATTTCCTTCCCCACTATCAGATCATGAGCTTCTCTTATTCTATGTCTTTGCTGCCATGGGACTGCGTGCTGCCTTCTGCACCACTCGCTTGATTGTGTTCAAAGAATCATCTTCAACAGTAAATCTTTTATCGGTTCTTTGGTATGAGCTTAAGGCCTTGAAGTACAGCTTTAAACTTCGCGATAGATATCGCACCCAGAAGCTCGATAGTGTTCACAAAATAATTATTTGCTGGTTCTCTGGTATGAGCTTAAGATCATGCACTATGTTTAAAACCTCAGCTTCATTTGCAGTGCATAAGTCAGCCAGAATAACTAAGCTTTAGAGGAGCATCATTATCTCTAATTAGGCCTCAACCAGATTCTTAATGAAATCATTTCTTGGAAGTCCCCAAAAATCTTTTCTCGCCATTGCGCAATCTGTCAGCATGTCTTGAATTCTTCCTTTTTAATTGATCCAATTGTATACATCCTCCCTGAGTATTTCGCTCCTTCCATACTTGCCAAAATTTTATTGCCCGTAGGATCTCCATATGAGTATACCTTTTGGGAGAGTAGCGCACTATTTAGGTGATCTATTAGATGGCCAACCAAAGGTAGCAGAGGCAATTGTAGTCCCACCATTTGCAAAGCCATGACCACAATGTTCTTGTGATGAGGTGAACAAAAGGAAACAGCAATTTAGTGAGAGAAAACAACCTCAAAGAGAGTTTGTAGAGAGAGAAAATTGGTACGAGCCGAGCTCTACCACAAATTATAAGCAAACTGTACTGTATTTTTTTTTAAAGAAAGTTACATAATCTGAGTTCGTCCTAACCCTTTTATGCATATTATTTTCACACTTTTGACGTTATTTAAAAGCTACACTATTTCCTACCAAAAAAAACCAGAAGTTACTAACGATATTCCCACTCCTAGTTTTGGTAATTAACTCGACTCTCTTTCCCCAATCAAAGCTTATGGAAATTCTGGTAATTAACTCGAGTCTCTTTCCCTCATTCAAAACTTATGAAACTTGTAGTCCAAGTTGGATTTGGGAGTCATCTTTCCTAGGTTCGAGATAACTCACCCTCGAGTTTGTGTTTCAAACACTATAATATTCGGTGAGATCTTGCAGATTGAAGGTAGGGTGAGTATGGCTATTAAATGAAAGTTCAAGCCTGTAAGAGTTATCATTGATCCGCTTTTCTTTAAGTATGCCACAATAAAAACTCCTTTATTGAATACCTTTTTTTCACCAATGTGTATCAACCATTTCTTTGTATTTTACACTATTCATTTCAAGCTTTTAGTAAACATCTTTATTGACTTTAGTAATAGACTCAACAAGATCCTCGGACACTTTGTTTGGTTTAGCTGAATCAAACAAAGGAACAAGATCGAGGTAGTGAGAATGAATGTGTCTATAAATCACCTCAAAGGGACTATTTCCAGTTTATCGATTCATAATTTAGTCGTAAGCAAACTCAGCTTGAGGAAGTACTAAATCTCATTGTTTTATTCTCTTTTCTGACAAGCTTTGAAGTAGATTACCAAGTGTCTGACGCATAATTTAGTGTGACCATCCATTTGAGGATGATATGCATTGCTCAAATGTAAATCGATTACAAGTCGTTCCCATAGGGCTCTCCAAAAGTGGTTGAGAATTTGGTGTCACAGTCCGATGCAATCCATCTGAGAATGCCATGATGCTTAACCACTTCTCGAAAGTAGAGATTAGCAACATAGAAAGCATCCATTGTTTTCTTGCAAGGGATAAAATGAATCCATGCCTCTTTGGGTCCTCGATAAACCAAGCGTAACATCCATTCTTACATCCTCCCATTGAGAGTTTGGAACTGGTAAGGGAGTGTAGAGGCCTGTACATTGAGCACATCCTTTTGAAACTTAGCAAGTTAGGCATTGCGTCATATAGTGATTCATTGGCCAATTATGCCTTTCGTCAACTAAAGTTGTTATTTTTTCACTACGAAATTGTCCAACCAAACCTCTGGCATGCAACTCATTGATGATGCACTCTCATAGAGACAATTTGGATAGACACAAGAAAACCCCACGAAAGAGGAATCCATCTTAGTGTAGAAAATTTACTTGCTTGCCTTCCTTACATGATCTCCAAGCCTCTCCAAAATCTATGTCATCTTTATATGGTCTTTTTATTTCCTCAAAATCAAGGATACGTCATAATGTTTAGCAGCATAGCATGTCTACTAAGTACATCCTTTACTTGATTAAGTCACATACTTTGGTGCTTTAACACAAAACTAAATTCTTACAAGAAAGCCACCCACTTAGCATGTCTCTGGCTAAAACTGTTTTGATTGTCGATGTACTTGAGTGCCTCATAGTTTGAGTTCAAGATCAACTCCTTTTGAATGAGATAAGTGTAGCCAATACCTAAGGGATTGTACGATGGCATAGAATTCTAGGTCATATGTTGAGTAATTCTGCTTAGTTTCATTGAGGTTTTTACTAAAAAAAAAGGCTATTGGATGCCCTTCTTGATTGAGTATTATACCAATAGCAACGTTTGAGGCATTCAAACACCCTTTCAAAGTCAAGCAGCGCGTGGTTGAGAGCTTATCTTAAACAAGTTGAAAGCTCTTCTCAGTGGATGGTGAACATTCAAATTCTCCCTTTTTCATGCAATCAATAAAGAGCACTGAGATGGTGCTAAAACTCTTTGTAAATCGCCGATAGAATGGAGCAAATCCATAAAAACGTCGCACATTATGGATTTATTGAGGTGTAGGTCCTTCTTGGATAGTCTTTATCTTACTTTCATCCACTTTTATGCTTGCAGAGGACAAAACAAAGGCTCCGAAAACGAGCCAATTTGGCATGAGAGTCCACTTTTTAAGATAAATATAAAGCTTTTCATTCCTTAATGAGGTTAACACATGTCTAAAGTGTTCAATGTACTCGTTTGGGTCATGAATATACAAAAGGATATCATCAAAGTAGACAACAACCAATTTTCTAATAAATGGACGAAGAACCTAGTTCATCATATGCATGAAAGTACTAAGAGCATTGGTAAAACTGAATGGCATAGCAAGCCACTCATATAGACCCTCACGAGTCTTGAATGCAATTTTCCATTTATCACCATGACTTTATTCTAATTTGGTGGCAACCACTTCTTAGATCAATTCTGTAAAATACTTGGGCATCCCCCAATATATCCTACATATCATCTAGCTTTGGAATTGGGAACCAGTATATGATAGTAATCAAATGATAGCATGATTAAGAATGCACATTCGCCATGTGTCATCCTTCTTTGGGGTTAGCAATGTCGGCACCCACATGGACTCATGCTTTCTCGGATAAAACCCATTGTTAAGTCGGTCTACAACTTGCCGGGAAAGTTCCTCATGCTCTTTTGGGGTCATATGGTAAGCAAGCTAGCACTGGGTGACAAATCAATTTGGTGTTGGATATCTCTTCATGGGGGCATCATTTGGTAGATCATCAGGGGTGATATCCTTGAACTCCTCCAAAAGTGGTTTCAACTCATAAAGTACACTCGTGGGTTTTACCTCTTGTTTTGCAACCAATGTGGACATGACTCTACTCTCATCACTTTCTTTCATAAGCTTAGACAAGGTAAGAAAGTTATTACCCTCCTCTTGGATAGATTTAGGTGCACTCTCTTCCTTGCCAGGAAAGAGCATGACCTCCACATTGGAATGTATAGGTGTTTTTGTGACCATCATATATGAATCGTCTCTCAAACTACCATGGTCTCTCGAGAAGTATTTGACATACATCCATATGAATGACATCACACCACACTTCATCTTTGTAATTTTTACCCAATGAAAAGAAACAAAGCAACATTTAGTCACTTTGACCTAACTTCCATTCTTGAACCATGCAATTCAATAGGTTCTTGGGTGGGGTTCAATTTTAGCTTGAGTTTTGTCCACCATTTATTGTAAGACAATGTTCTCACTACTTCCTCCATCAATAGGTGCACACATTGCTACTTGATTTACAACGACTTTCGAAGATGTTGGATCTCAGCCAATTTTTCACT